GATCCCCGGTACCTCCCCCCCCCCAAAAAAAGGAGAGAGAGAGAATGATATTTCCTATTCAGAAAAATTAGCACCTTTATATTGGCCCCAGAAAAACAGGAGGTAAATAACTTCCAGAGAAATCACATCAATAACTATGAAAGAAAATGTCAGTTTTCCCATCTCACAAGACTTTCTGTTCTCCTGAGATTTCTTACCTTTCTGGAAACTAATTTTTCTCTATTCAAATTGGATCCACCAAAACAACAAAGACATTGTTTTTATGCTTACCTGGTAACTGTTGTTACCTGGTTTATTTCTTGCTCTACCTGGGATTACCTGTGATTACCTGTGTAATCGGAGCAAATTTTTTAACCTCTGTGCCTGAGTGTTTTCATATACAAAGGTAGGACCAAGGGGCATAACTAGCTTGTAAAGTTGTAGGGAAGATTCAATGTAATGTTCTAAGACTAAGACATCTAGTATATTTTCAATTATTAATTATTCTTGATATTCTTTGGGATCCATACTTCTTACATTCCCTGGTAAGAAGATCAAGTTAAGTTCATATGAGATTCCCCCAACTAGAAAGGGGTTGTTAAGGAGGGGTCTGGAAGGTATCATAGCAGTGGAATGGGAACAGAGGTGTGGATTGCCAAGGACAGTGAAGCAGGCTTTTCTCTTACCCATGGCAGAGCTGAACTCTTGAACCAACTGGATGTGTTTGTAACTGTTTTGCCTTGGCCTGGACTAGCCAAAAAGAAGTGGGTGGATGGATGTCACTGCCTATTTCCTCCCTGTAGTTATTACAGACCTACATTGTTTTTTTCCAGACCTACATTTTAGAAAACTAATTGTTGAAGTCCTTGTCTTTCTTTCCCACAAGGAAGCTTTGTTCATCAATTAAAACCAGGCTGAGAGACAAAGCCTTTCCATTCTGAATCAAGATTTGTCTCTGAGGGCCAGGGATGTAGCTCAGCGGCGCCATGCCTGCTTGATAAGTGCAAAGTCCTGAGTTTGATCACGATACCAAAAAAAAAAAAAAAAAGATTTGTCTCTGAAAATAAAATAAATATCACCTCTTTTTATTTAGCTGACTATGGGTCCTCCTCAGAGCTGAACTAAAGACTCCCACCCAACGGAAACACATTCCACCGTGATGCAATGCGTACTAACAGCCAAACACCCAAAGGTAAGATTCCTGCTGGCAAAGCACAGAAGGAAGATAGTTGTTTTAGTCATCTTATTTCTATTCCCAGTAAATGAGTAAAGCCAAGGTTGCTCTTGGTTTATCCTCACAGTGACTCAGCCCTCTATCTTACTTTCTCCGTGACCTTGGCATTTCTAGGTCTTGGCACAGGACAGGAACCTCTCCAGCCTCTGGGTTTTGTATGCAAGTTGTTGCCATACCAGGAGGCTTCTTTGGCTCCCAATTTGTAAAACTGACATTTTCCTCTGATGTTCTAGAGCCCACTATATAATGCAATTGTTCTGGGATTAAAGGACTGCGTTCTGTGGGCTTCATTTGAACGTAATCTGCTTCCAACTTTTCTATGGAAAAAAAATGGCAGAATTTTTTTGTCCAGTTCACATGGCAAATTCACTCTTTAAACAGGAGACTAAGAAAGTTCAACTCCAGCCTGCCAGACAGACACCACCACCAAAAAGTAAATAAATAAATAAATATATTTTTAAAACCCAGTTCAGAAAGGTGTAATAGATAATGTGAAATAGGAAGAAAAGGGGCAAAAGGGAAGGGAAAGTGGAAGGGGTAGGGGAAAGGAAAGAAGGGAATGGAATCAATATGAGAAAATGGAAAAATGGAAACAAAGTCTTTGTAAATAGGGAGGGATGGAGGGGTTGAAGGGAGGGCAGGGGAATAGGGAAAAAAGAAGAGCCAAGAGAGATTATGTAAAGATGCCAATTTCCAATGATGAATGTTATTATACTGTATACCTAAAACGTACCAATAAAATTTAAAAAAACAAAACAGTCTGAGGGCAAGAGGGGGTAATAGGAGGCTAAGGGATGGCATGGAGAGTCTTATCAGTTGGTACCAGTTACAGCATCTGACACCTGGCAGCTAAGCGCTTTCTTCTAAACGTGGCACAGAGCTTCTGGCACATCCCGGGAAGTTTCCAAGAAGGAACTCACTAAATAGAGCCAGATGGGTCGAGAGTCAAGTCCTTTCATTCCCAGCTGCTATGACATCTGGCATAACTTCTCAAAGCTTTCCCAGTCTGAGCCTGTTTCTCATCAGTGACATCGCAGAATTGAACTGCATATCTTGGAGGTTTCACTTTAGCAGTCTGGGCTTCTAGGAAGAAACAGCTCAGAGTAGGGTAAATTCATGCTTCTTTTTGATAGGAAGTGATTTTTTTTTTCTCATGTGTCTCCTGTAGATTACTAGCATAATTACTAGCATTCAGCATAATCTTGGATGATAACAAGAAGTCCATGAATTCTGAATGAATAAATAAATGGACCTGATTTACCCCAGGTCTTCTGTGTCCCCCATAACACCATTTCTGGGTGATAAGGGCATCTCTTTAACAGTTCAACATGCCTTTGTGCTCACTGCCCTTTTCAGTTTCTTATTCCACCGTAATCCTTTGTGAGCTGCTGATTTAAAAGACCAGGAATTTCTTGACCAGATATAATCTGCTTGCAGTCAGACTAATTTATTCCTGTGTAAGAAAGTCCAGTTTTTTGACTGGGGTGAGGTATGCATTAGGGTCCAGTCTAACCCAGAGCACCTGCTAAATATAGCTTTTTCTGGGTCCTGTGTTCGCACAGTCAGGCCCGGTCTGAATTAGAATAAGGTTAGAGTTTCTCTTTCAAACAAAACAAAAAATGAGCCATCAAATTAATCCAGAAAGACCAGCTGTCTCTAGAAATGCTCCTCCACTTTAAATAAGCCCATATCCTGTGACTGTGGTGAGTCATTTACCTTGCAGAACAGTCTGGTCTTTATTAATGTCCTTTACTTAGTGTTCCCTGTACACAAGGTGTGTTCTTACTCCTGAGAAGGCCATTAGGTCTGCTCTGCATTGGACACATGGGGCCCAGAAAGGCACAAACAGCTGAGCAAGGCCACCCTCACCCCTGCATGGGCTGAGGAAGGAAATAGCTGATAAGCCGTGGAAGTTACAAAATGACAATAATTTCTCTCACATCTTCTCCATTTGAAGGGACCTGCAAAGTGAATTGGGGTGGGGAAGAAAAGAACAGCCCCCCCCCGCAAAAAAAACCAGTGCCAACCCCTAGGAAATGGCTGCCTCTGTGGATGGGATTCAGTGAGACCTCCCAGAAGGCAGCCTGTTCAGAGTGGCCACGTGCCTGCTCCCTGTCAGAAGAGAGGCTGTCTCCGAAGCTGTCACAGGGATTTAGCTCTTCCTGTTCCTCTTTCCGTTGTTCCTAACTTCATCCAATGATGCATTCTGAGATTTAATACAAAGTAAAGAAAGTCTTGGATTGAGTTTCTCTCAAATCTTGGAGATGGACAAAAAATGCTAAATTCATTGTTCCAGGACCAGCTGCCTGGAACCAACCAAAATGATATCTGCCTCTCTCTCTCCCTCTACTTCTCCCTTCCTCTCTCCTTCCTTCCTTCCTTCTCTCCCTTCTCCCTCTCCCCTTCCCTCCCTCTCTCCCTCCATCTCTGGTAATGGAAATTGAACACAGGGCCTCACATTTGCTAGGCAAACACTCTGCCACTAAGCTATACTCCCAATCCTTTTTACTTTTTTTTTTTTTTTCCTTTTTCCTTTATTTTGAGACAGAGTCTAAGTTGTCCGGGCTAGGCTCACACCTGTAATCAATCCTCCTGCCTCAGCCTCCCAATCAGCTAGGATTACAGGCATATATTGCCATGCCCAGTTATGGCCCAGCTACATTGTGGTATTTTTAAAAAGTCTCTTTCTGGTTTTCCTTACTGAGACATTCTCTGAAGCTCTTGTTTTCTTCACACAGTTATCCTGGTCATCTTGGAATTTGTAACACCTGAGCTCATTGTGCATCAATTAGATTGTTAGCTCTGTAAGGGCTCAAGTCTTCAAATATTTTCTATCTCTAATTCTTAGAACAATGGCTTGCATATAATAGGCATTCAAGAGCTGCTTGCTGGTGGAAATAGCCTCCCCCCGAGTCATAATGTCAAAGCCTTGCTGGAATAACTAAAATGAATCCCTCAGGTTGGACAGTAATTGAAGCTGCTGTTTTTTAAGAACAGCTTTAAGGGCATCATGGAGATAATACTTTCATCCCACAGGACCACCTGAGCACCTGGCATAATAGTTAAAGCACAGGAGGCAAATGGTGTGAGGATGCTGCTGGTCCATGGTTCAGGAGGAAATGAGGCAACTACTTCTGAACTGAGGGGGGACAACGTGCCAGGTCCGTTCCTGGCAGGAGTAAGTACTAAATAAGCAGGAAGCCACATGTTCAAAGAGATGAGAGAATTGCAAATGGCTCAGATCCTTAAGAACTCATCTACAAAAAAAAATTCATGAATTCACGGTGACATAAATTCATGAATTAATAGTAAATAAATGGGGAGAAGGGACAAATTTTCCTTATAGAAGAATTATGAATAATAAATGTAAAAGTGAGAAAGGAAATAGAAAGTTATTTTTAGAATGCTACAATGGTAAGGATGTTCCTTCCTGCTGCCAGAAAGATACACTAATGAAGGCTACAATTAGAGGATGAAACTTCAAGGAGAAACAGGATATTTGTATATCCTCAAATCTCCTTGAAAATATTTATTCATAGCTGTGGTGGTTTTAAAATATGTCCACAAATTCTTTAATACTGCTCCCTTCAGAAGATAAAGCTAATTATCTTCTCTTTGAAGGCAGGTTGGACTAAATAATTCATTTCTAAACAATGGGAAACAAGAGGAAAAGTACTAGCTTGACAGTGGAAAAAATGGATGGACAACACACTAAAATGATCAATGTTAACATCACCAGTGATAGCCCATGTTGTTGCTGTGTTCTCCCTGGTATGATGTGATAAGAAGTGTAGTCCCGAAAATGAACAGCTCGGACGAGGAGAAGCAGCTGCAGCTCATCACCAGTCTGAAGGAGCAACCTGTAGGCGAATATGAAGACCTTAGAGCAGAGAACCAGAAAACAAAGGAGAAGTGTGGCAAAATTAGGCAAGAACGAGATGAAGCTGTTAAAAAACTGGAAGAATTTCAGAAAATTTCTCACATGGTTATAGAGGAAGTTAATTTCATGCAAAACCATCTTGAAATAGAGAAGACTTGTCGAGAAAGTGCATAAGCTTTGTCGAGAAAGTGCAGAAGCTTTGGCAACAAAGCTAAATAAAGAAAATAAAACACTGAAGAGAATCAGCATGTTATACATGGCCAAGCTGGGACCAGATGTAATAAAGGAGGAGATAAACATTGATGATGAAGATGCTACCACAGACCCAGATGGTGCTGCTGAGACTTGTATCTCAGTACAGTGTCAGAAGCAGATCAAAGAACTTCGAGATCAAATTGTATCTGTTCAGGAGGAAAAGAAGATGTTAGCCCTTGAGCTGGAAAATCTCAAGAGCAAACTGGTGGAAGTAATTGAAGAAGTAAATAAAGTTAAACAAGAGAAGGCTATTTTACATGCCGAAGTTCTTGAACAGAGAAAGGTTTTAGAAAAATGCAACAGAGTGTCCATTTTGGCAGTAGAGGAATATGAGGAGATGCAAGTAAACCTGGAGCTGGAGAAGGACCTTCGAAAGAAAGCAGAGTCGTTTGCACAAGAGATGTTCATAGAACAAAACAAGCTAAAGAGACAAAGCCACCTTCTGCTACAGAGCACTGTCCCTGACCAGCAGCTTTTGAAAGCTTTAGATGAAAATGCAAAACTCATCCAACAACTTGAAGAAGAGAGTATTCAGCATCAGCAAAAGGTCAGAGAATTAGAGGAGCAACTAGAAAATGAAGCATTGCACAAAGAGATACATAACCTCAAACAGCAACTGGAGCTTTTAGAAGAAGATAAGAAGGAACTGGAATTGAAATACCAGAATTCTGAAGAGAAGGCCAGAAATTTAAAGCATTCTGTTGACGAGCTCCAGAAACGAGTGAACCAGTCTGAGAATTCAGTACCTCCTCCACCTCCACCTCCACCACCTCTTCCGCCTCCACCTCCCAATCCTATCGGATCCCTCATGTCCATGATCCGGAAGCGATCCCACCCCAGTGGCAGTGGTGCTAAAAAAGAAAAGGCAATGCAACCAGAAACAACTGAGGAAGTCACAGATCTAAAGAGGCAAGCTGTCGAAGAGATGATGGATAGAATTAAAAAGGGAGTTCATCTTAGACCAGTTAATCAGACAGCCAGACCGAAGGCAAAGCCAGAATCTTCAAAGGGCTCTGAAAGTGCAGTGAATGAACTAAAAGGAATACTGGGGACACTTAACAAATCCACTAGTTCAAGAAGCTTAAAATCTCTTGACCCTGAAAACAGTGAAACTGAGTTAGAAAGGATTTTGCGTCTCAGAAAGGTGACAGCAGAAGCAGATAGCAGTAGTCCAACTGGGATATTAGCCACCTCAGAGTCCAAATCCATACCAGTGTTGGGTTCTGTATCCAGTGTAACAAAAACAGCCTTGAACAAGAACACTCTGGAGGCAGAATTCAACAGCCGGTCCCCCCTCACACCTGAGCCAGGTGAAGGGTCCCATAAATTGGAAGGATGCACAAGTTCCAACGTTTCATTTCAGCCTCCCAGTAACATTGGATATAGGAGAAAATACATTGGCAGTGAAAATAAAGCTAAACCAATTGTAGTTTTACATCCTGTTTCCACACACGAACCCCAAACCAAAGACCAAGTAGCCGAGAAAGATCCAGCTCAATGCAAGCACGATGAGGTGAAACTAAACCAGAATTCAAAGAAGACAGCATTGAAAAAATGAGAGAGACAGACAGTTCCAGCTGCTGATCCATCAGCCAGAAGGCTGACATGTTTGGAAGTCCTTTTCAATAAGCACATGATTCAGTTTGGTGTATTGTTAAGGGCTATAGACATTCCGTCTGGTCACTGTATTCACAATATAGCTTCTTTTCTGGTGTCACTTTTGTAAGTAGCAACTATAAGCATAAATAAGCTGTTTAGCAAAATATACACATTCTAAGTAGTTTTTGGGTTTTGATCTTTATAGAGATAAGATTTTTTCCTAGTTACTGTATGTATGAAGTATGGCTTTGTTTAGAAGATTACAAAGGATTCAGATGTTGGTATCTTTTTAGGAAATGTGCATACCACTCATCAAATTTAGTAATGTTGAAAGTTTGAGGTGTTTGTGATAGTTGAATAAACAGAACTGAACGACTTAACATGATATAAACCCCCCACCACCAACACCACCAGGTTGCACCTATAGTTCAGCTATTCTAGAGGCTGGGGTAGGAGGATTACTTGAGCCCAGGAGTTTAAGGCCAGACTGGGGAACAGAGACCATGACTCAAAAACAAAACAAAAATCCCTCAAAAAAGCTTCTGTTTTGGATCTCATCCTCTTTAGATAATCTGCAACAGCATGGAAAGGGTGGATCCTATGGCAGACAAGTTATTTTCTAGGGTAGACTGGGATAAACTTCGAACTCAGGAGCTGGCATCAAAGTAGTTGTCTCTTAGTCAACATGAATTGCACACTTTGTTAACTACTGGATGGAAAACACATGCTATTGGTTGTGCCTAAAGCCTCCCAAGGACCTCAGTGGGAATGTTCTGGTGGCCTGAGTATGGAATTGAGGTGAAAATCCAAACCTCGAATCAACAGTAGTATCTTCATAAATCATGTTTTCTGTACTATGAGTTCATTGTGTTTTCCCATATACTAATGTGGCCCAAGCACCATATTTAATCACAATTCTTATGTACAGTGAAGATAAATGACAAGGACACATTTTTCTTGCTTCATTGCCATTCTGTATTATACAGGGTTTTTTGCTTTGTTTTGTTTTGTTTTAAAGAAATTAAGTGGTAGTTAGTCTCTCAAAATACAGTGTTTCAGGCTACCACAGTGAATAAATAGAAATGTAATCAGTGATTTAAAAAAAAAACTTATGCAGCTTTTCAAAGTCAATTGTTTCAAAATTGGTGTTTATTTAAAATAAGTGGTAATGTACTTGAATGCACTTTTTATGACAATGATTCAGTAATAGTAATTTTACTATTAAAGAAAGTGAAAGGTTTAGTTTTGTTAGCATGACTCAGCATGTAGCTGTCAGGTGTTCCTCACCTAAGGGCAAAAGAAAAGGATAGTAATAATTGCAGTAGTTGTATTGTATTGTATTTTTGCACATGTGCTAAGCAGAGGCTTGAAGACGTGGGTAGTCAGGTGAATGTACTTCCTCAATTTGGAGACAATTATCTTTCTATAAGTTTGCTACTATTTCCATGTTCATCCAGTGATGATTTACAGTTACCTATCAGATTACTCATAGGGCATTTAAATGTAATGTTTTTTCATCTGTATGTTTTGGTAACTGAATAATAGCACTATGTGATATGCTAACTACAAATTGATTAATTCACGTAGATGAGTTATGTTATGCTGTGATTTGAACTCTCCTCGCCACAGTGTATTAAAAAGAAGCACCAACACCTAAAAAAAAAAAAAGAAGAAGTGTAGTCCCCCCAGAAAAAGACCCATAATCTATTGAAGCAAATCATGAGAAAACATGAGACAAACTCAAATTGAGAAATACTCTACAAAATACTCAACTGGTGTTCTTCAAAAGTATCAAGGTCATGAAAAATAAGGAATGACTGATAAATCATCACACATTGAAGGAATCTAAGAAGATGTGACAACTAAATGTAATGTGACATCCTGGAATAGATCCTCAAATAGAAAAAGGGCATTAGTGTGAAAATTGCTGAAATCTGAATAAGGTCTATAAATTCTATAGTAGTGTTGTATTGACAAAAAAACTCAGTTTTGATAAGTGTGTGTTGCTTTTTATAAGAAATTTGCATTAGGAAAAGCTGGTATAAATTTATATGGAACTCTCTGTACTATCTTTTTAACTCTTTTAAAAAGCTAAAATTATTTTTAAATAAACAAGTTTTCAAAAATCATCTAGTCTAAGCCCTTCTTTTACATATGAGAAATCAGGAAGGCTAATTTGTACATATACATCACCCTTGCACCGAATATGATAGATTGGTTTTTTAACTACACAGACTTAATTCTAATAGTGCATGAGGAATTACATTGCCCCTAGAACTCAGGTAGCCTGCCTTTCACAATAGCATCAAAAAAAATGAAATACCTAGGAATCAATCTAATGAAGAAAGGCAGTCAATGCACAGGTAAGACCTTTACATGAAAAACTACACCACTCTGAAAAAGGAGATCAAAGAGGATATCAGAAAATGGAAAGACATCCCTTATTCTAGGGTAGGAAGAGCCAATATAGTGAAAATGGCATGGCCACACTTCCAAAATTGTTATACAGATTTAATGCAATCCCGATCAAAATACCAATAGCCTAGCTCACAGAATTAGAGAAAACCATCCTAAAATTCAATTGGAACCAGAAGAGACCTAAAATTGCAAAAGCAATTCTGAATAATAAAGGCAAGATAGAGGGCATCACAATCCCTGACTTGAAATTATACTACAAAGCTATTGTGATAAAAACAGCATGGTACTGGCAAAAAAAAAAAAAGCCCCAAGGATCAATGGAATATATGAGATGATGCAGAAAGAACTCCAAATAAACTCAGCCACCCTATCTTAGACAAAGAAACCAAACACCTTTCCTGGAAGAAAGATAGCCTCTTTAATAAATGGTGCTGGAAAGACTGGCTTTCCACATGTCAAAGACTAAAACTAGACCCATGTCTCTCACCTTGCACTAAAGTCAAAATGGATCAAAGATCATCTAAATATTAAAACAGAAACACTAAATCAGCTGGAAGATACAACAGGTAGAATTCTTGAAGACATTGGTGTACACAGACTTTATGAACAAAACCCTGATTGCACAGGAGATATCACAAACAATGACTGGAACCTCATCTTATTAAAAAGCTTTTGCACAGCAAAAGAAACAACCAACAGAGTGGAGACAGCCCCAGTTTGGGGAAAAAAATTGCCATCTATTCTTCAGATAAAGGACTAATATGTAGAATATATAAAGAACTCAAAAAAATCAGGCTTTCCAAATTTAAAGACCCAACCCAAAAATGGGCATCTGAAATGAACAGATACTTCTCTCATGAAGAAGTTGAAATGGCAAATAAATATATGGAAAAATTTCCAACATCACTGATTGCTTGACAGATGCAAAGTAGAACAATGCTGAGATTCCATTTCACTCCAGAAAGAATGGCTATCGTCAAGAAATCAACCAATAACAAATGCTGGTGAGGTTGTGGAGAAAAAGGAACCCTTCTCCGCTGTTGCTGGGAGTGTAGACTGGTGCAATCACTGTGGAAATCAGTGTGGAGATTCCTCAAAAAAACTAAAATTAGGGCCAGGAATTTAGCTCAGTGGTTCTGGCGCCTGCCTTGCAAGTGCAAGGTCCCAAGTTCAATCCCCCAGTACCAAAAAAAAAAACAAAAAAAACAAAAAAAACAACCTAGAGGTTCCATTTGACCCAGCTATTCCCCTTCTTGTTATCTTCCCAAAAGAATTAAAAGTGTCATACCACAGTGTTATATGCACAGCTATGTTTATACCTGCACAGTTTGTAATAACTAAATCTTGGAAACAGCCCAAATGCCCATCAACAGATGAATGGAGAAAGATGTGGGGTTTTTTTATACAATGGAGTACTACTCTGACATAAAGAAGGATAAACTTGAGACATTTATAGCTAAATGGATCCATCTTGAGACTATACTCTTTTTCTTTTTCTTTTTCTTTTTTTTGGTACTGGGGATCAAACTCGGGACCTTGGTTTTCAATGCAGGCAGCAGCACCACTGAGCTAAATCCCCAGCCTGAGACTATACTCTTAAGTGAAATAAATCGGGCACTCATTTAAATACCACATTGTTTCTCTGGTGTGAGAAACCAAGAGTGTAAATAAGCACAAAAGTGTCAATAGATATTGGGAAGTGGAAGAACATGTTCAAATGAGGAGGGGAACAAGGGAAGGGTGAGGGAGAGAGGAAGAAAGGGACAGAAAAAGAGAATAGAAGGGAAATAATGGAAACTAAGCTTTTGTAAATATGGAGAGGAAGAGAGTTTGAAGGGAGGGGAGGGGAAAGGGAAAAAATAAGAAGCAAGATATATCACGTACTGGTACAAATTCCCTTTGATGAATGTTATCATTACGTATATCTAAATTGTACCAATAAAAAAATCCAAAGAAAAAAACAATTACTTTATCCAATACATTAAACATTGAGTGTTTTGCAAAATAAGAGTACTTTCAAGAGGGGCAATTAAGTTCAGCTTCAAATTATACAAAATAAATTTTTCAAGTGATAATGCAAAAGAAAATGAATAAGACTTTGCTGAACCTTGGGAGTATATAGGCTGTGGCCCAGCTGTGTAGAAGCGGTCAGGTAAGCAGAGAGGGCTCTGTATATATACATATACATATATATATATATATATATATATATATATATATGTAATCTGAATATATATAACATTATATGAATATGTATATTTATATATATAACTTAGGATAAAGAGGAAATACCAGAAATCACACCTAAAATTAAATACTAAAGTATTAGTGGAACATGATTGATTTTTAAAGAGAAGGAGTTTTAATCCAGGCTGAGGGAAGAGAATGTAGAGAAGTTAAAGAATGCAGAATGTGCTGGCTCACTCAGAAAACTGCAGACTGATGAGAGCTGGGGTCACTAAGAGGGAGCTAGGAAGGGAAACCCAAGGGAAGCAGGGCTCTTGGCTCCCAGGCTTCGCCTGACACACTAACGTTCTGTGCTTTTGTGCAGGAAATGTGTGTACGGTCTTTCAGAGGACTTATGTACGGGAATGGTCAAATTTCTATTTTTTTTAAGAGTTTTAAGTTATTTTTTAAAGCTTGCTTGTTTTAAAATGCAAAAAATATATTATTTTTTAAAGAAAAACAGATGGTTTCTCAGAATTGAATGCATTAGCCTATCACTCCAAGGAAAGCAATTGCCAGTGTTTGTTTCCAATATCA